TCATAATTGCAAATCGATAGCATGACTAAATATTAATTTGGTGAATAATTTTTGTATTGTGTTTTTTTTAATTTTTTCTAACTTTTTAGCCATTTTTTTCAATTATTCCATTTTAAAATAATTTATATTTCATAATTAACAATGGGCTTTGTTGAATTCCTTATAATTTAAGGTCTTGCAGTTCTATACGGTACAATACTGGTATAATACGGAATTATACAAAAAATAAATAAAATACCGTATTTTAACATCTCTAAATAAATGTATTTAAAACCTACTGCACATTAAATAAGTATTAATAATAAAAACACAAATAATTTTTATATTAAAATTGTACCTTCAGTCTGAATCCTGTATAAAAAAAAACAACAAATTATCATAGTAATAATAGTACCTATTAATTATTTTTTAAAAACTTTAAAAAACAATCAAGATAGGTAACTTAATTTAACAAGTATCTAAGTAGAAAACAAAAGGTTGGTAAGTAGTCATATACCAAATTTCTTTTTTTCATTTTAGCATATTGTCAGTTATTGTGATTATTATTTGGGTTAGGAACTTCTAGCTCTATAAAATATACAAATATGCATGCATTTGTTCACAAAAAAATGACTAAATACCTATGCACAACAAAAAGTACCAGATATTATGTTGTAAAAAAAAAAATTAGACGAGTAAAATTATTAAGGACTTAAACAGCTCTAATAAATACAAAAATGTACAATATTCATAAATGCACCAAAAAATGACTAACTAGTAAATAAGTGTTAAAATAAGTGTTACTTTACATCATTTCATAAATACCACGGTTATGTTTGTAAATGTCTATAACCGTAACAATATCCGTGGAAGATAATACCACTATTCATTCCACAACCAAAAATGTTAAGATATAAGAAGATAAATAAAAATGATACCTGTGACCTAATTGACAAATTATATTATTGAATTTATTATCATACTATAGTGATAGACTAGTAATTTATATTCTTATATAATTATACATTAATTTTTTTAAATAAATCTATGCATTATGTTAAAAAAAAATACGAGACATGGAGGAACGAATGCCCACTTCGCCATCCTTATCAAATCGCCCTTCTGCAGTATAACTTACAAAAAACTAAAATTTAATTAATGTGTATGCACATATATTCTTAACATTAGTTATTCAATATTCTTATATATTATTCACATTAGGGTGTGCCAAGGCACACCCCGTTGAGCCGCCTATGAATACATATTTATTTATTTAATATAATTTATTTTTTTTTTTTTATTAGATTGATGAGTTATAATTAGTAAATTACAAAATAAATATTTTTTTTTAAAACAATATGTTGTATTTTAATTACTATAGTAAATGATTATATTAAACAAATAATATTTCTTCATTTTAAAACAAAGTAAAGCAACAATTCCTAAGTATTTAGAAAAATAATTCATAAATATGCATATATAAATGTATAGGTATATGACATAGTATATACTTGGATTCGGGGTATAGAGCTAAGACTAAAGTAGTTAATGGTCTATTCACACATTTCTTTTTTTTTTTTTTTAATTATACATTTTTACAATGTCCCTCTCATTTAAAGTTTTCTTTTCATTAAAAATAAATAATTACAAATCAATCTATGTATACTAAAAAAAAAATAATAGAATAGGTAAGTTATTTTAATTGCGCAAATTAAGTAACATGACAAATAACTTAAATCAGACTAGTATTACAATGTTTTGTGCATCAAGGAAGTGAGTCCTTTTTTTCAGATGCAGAATTGTATACATTATGCCTACACATCTTTCCATTTATAATTATAAGGTATTCTGGGATATATTTTTTGTATAATGTATGATTTTCATTTTATATTAAAACTATCTTGTGCGTGAATAGACCAAATAATAAACATTAATTCAATACTAAATTATCAAAGGCAATAAACACATTAGTTATCAATAATTTTACTAGAGCATGAACAAATTTCCGTAGTGCAAATTTTTGAAGGATTTGGGTAAGGTCATACCTAATAAAAAAATATTAACACTTAACATGTCCATTACCCTAGATAAATTAATAAAAATTGAATAACATTCAACATACTTTAGAGTATATGCTCTAGGGTACAACATATTTTTAAGGCTATGGATGTTTTAAAAAATTATTCATTTTTACACTTATTTTTAAAATTAAGTTAATCTTTAATTAATAGTTTACGATATAAGAATCTTTTAATATTCCATGAAAATGACACTCGTATTAAAAAAAAAATTTTGTAAGCCAATTTAGATTAATAAAAACTCCATGGCCCTACTTCTAGTATGTACCAATAACTTAACCTAATTATTTAAACGTACAATTAAGATTAACTATTAATGTGATTATCAAAAATTTTTACAAATGTAGAAGTAGTTAGTTGATCTTGATGCTGTACTGTTTTTTTTAATCAGAATGCAACTAAAAAAAAAACATTAAATTATTTATAGAATTGATATATTCTATATAAAAAAAAAATGTATACATACTTATTAAGTTATCAGGTGAGATGTACTATGCTAAGACTAACCAAAAAAACAATTTGTATTTGTTCTTCCAATCTTGTTATAGATATTTGAATTAAAAGTTAGTACTACTAAATGCAATTGAAATTTGAAAGAAAACAAAATTAATTTCCTAAAAAATAAACAAAAATTATGATGAACATCAAATTATTTATTTTATAAAAAAATTCATACTTACATAATAGATTGTATAGTTTGTTTAAAAGATACTAGTAGCAAGCAATGTGAATATGCATTAATTGCTGGTCAAATTTAGCTGTCTAATCATATAGTTCACTGTATTCTTTGATTAATTATATAAATTCTACCAATTGCCACTGAAATACAATAAAATATTTTAACCCTGGTTATAATTTATTAAAAAAAAAATTTAATTACATAATTGTTTGTTTAGCTTGTTGAAAAATTAAAATATAATATAATATAGATATATATATGTAACATGTATATTTTATTCCTTTATTCCAATTTTATTTTATATATTAATTTATAGTTATCAGATAGGTACTAGTAGAAAGCAGTATGAATTTGCATTAATTGCTGATCAAATTGACGTTTCTAGTCATATAGTTCACTGTTATTTTTGACTAATTACACCAATAATACAAATTGCCACTGAATTAGAATTAAAATATTTGAACCCTGGTAATTATTTGCTAATAATAATATACATAAATCATTTAATAAAAAAAAAATGTATTAATTATTAATTTATTAATTAAATGTTTTAATTTATTAAATTTATTTATATTAGATTGAACTTACCAATAAATTATATAAAAAAAGTTGTCGGCAAAATATGAAATCTAATTGCCATACACATAATAATACATATTGCTGATTGGATAAAAGTATATTTTTAATTAAATTCAATTTTTTTAAAATAACACTATCAAAAAATATAATATGAATTGAAATAATTGGTATAAACCTTAAATGTATATTTTAAATAAGATACATATATTAGTATTTACTGAAAACGTATTCTGTGGTTAAACGTTCAAAGAATAATAATTAGTTAAAAATATTTATTCGATGTTAGATAATGGAAAACTAACATTAATGATTAACCAATAACAACATGTTTTCGGAAACAGATAACTGGCATTTATTATCGTTTATCTACTAAGATAATACTTGATAATACCGTATACCATGAATCAATAATCAAAGATATATTATGTAACCATGATGGTAAATTGTAATATGTTATTTTTATACTTAATAGCTTATACAGCGCTGCTGCAGGCTAGTCACTCACTGACACACGGTGTTCTGATGAGAGTTTTGATAAGACATTTTATTTTCAACAGTATTGTTTATCTATCTTGTTAGCTATTCATGAGTTATTATCGTTTATGACAGTTATGGGTATTGTTAAATTGAGATATCATTCCGTTTTGACTTCTAGTTTTTACCGTTGGGTTTGATAAATTGCACAGTAGCAGTAAATTGAACGAATATTTAAACGGTAATACGTCGCAAACGGATTACTGAAATTAAATTCTGTAAACGTTAAAATTATTTTTTTCAGTATGTTTATACATTTTCGTTATAGAAAATAATTATTGTCATTTGAAAATCAAAAGTTGATAGTGTTTTATCAAATAAGGGAGGAAGTTAAAATTATTCAAATTTTAACAAAGTGTAAAATAGTAAAACCTAGAAAGTTTCAAAAAAAATTATTTTAAAATTCTTAATATTTCCCGAAATATTAAATGGTTCACGATAAAAAAATCACCCCGTAGAGAATGATATTTTATATATACTACACAATATTAAAAAAAAATAGATTTATATGATTAAATATAAATTATTGAATATAAAAAAATACTTTAGTTGCACAATGCGTTTGGGTAAGATTTCAAAAACTATTAAATCATTAAATTTAAGTTGTTTTTTGTTCTACTTAGGATTAATAATATAAATGAAAATAACAAATGATATTCAATAATAAATAAATTTGTAATTTTTGGTTTTATAATGAAAAGTAAAATATTTTTAGAGCATAATTGCATGTATATTTTAAGGTTTTTTAGAGCATGAAGTCCCTAGCCCTGATTAATATATAAAATATTATAATGTTATAAGAAGAATAGGATTAAATAAAATAAAATAATAATACATACCTTTTGTACATGGATTCATTGATTCATTTATTCTTCTAAGGCTGGGCACAATCGATCTCCCGAAATTTGATTTTAGTGATATCTCGCTGTTATCAAAATCGGGAGATTGTACCAGCCTCGTGTATTGGGAACGCTAATATTCTAACCTTATTGGCAACACAATAAGTTATAAGCAAACCCGGCTTCTTGGTTTTCTGTTTATCAGAAACAAAACTTTTCATATTCGTAATAGTAATACTTCAGTATTTGTAGTGTACAATTTTATACTAACCTAATCTATTTGAAAATTTAATAATTGTTTTTAATCATTAAAAAAAAAAAAAAAATTTAAACATGAATAGTGGTATGTTATACGGTGGTGATGAAATTGGTGCATTGGTTTTTGATTTGGGCTCACAATCGTTTCGTTTCGGTTATGCTCAAGAAGATACCCCAAAAGCAGAAATACCTACTGTGGTCGGTATTTCAGACGAAGGTACAGTGGATACTAGTATGCTGGAACCTGGAGTTAAACAAGGCAATCGTATCAATGAAAATACTAAACATTACATAGACATTAACACGTTATGTGTTCCTCGTAAAGGTAGGTTATACATTACAAATTTTTAAAACATTTTATCAACATTTTTTGCTATAGGCATGGAAGTAGTGAGTTGCATGAAAGATGGTATGATTGATGACTGGGATTTATTCGAAAAATTAATTGACTTCTCTTATTCAAAGTACTTGCAAACTGATTCTAAGTATCGACCAGTATTATTTTCTGAGCCTCCCTTAAATGATAGATCAAAAAGAGAAAAGTTAGTAGAGTTAATGTTTGAAAAGTACAATCTACCAGCTACTTATCTTAGTAAGAATGCTGTCTTAGCTGCATATTCTTGTGGCCGTCCATCTGGTATTGTTGTGGACAGTGGAGCAACACATACTACTGCAGTTCCTATACATGATGGTTATGTTATAAGTAATGCTATTGTCAAATCTCCTTTGGGAGGAGATTTCATTAGCAGGCAGTGTAGACAATATTTTAAAGTAAGATAATTAAATATTAAAAAATGTTATTAAATACTTTTATCACTTAAATGTTGACATAGGAAAATGAAATTGAAGTAATTCCTCATTATATGGTTGCATCAAAAGAGCAAGTGAAAGAAAAAGAAAAACCCATTTGGACCAAAAAAAAGTTACTTCCTGAAGTTTCAAATTCTTGGCACAATTATATGTGTAAATCAGTTATTCAAGATTTTCAGCATTCTGTATTACAAGTATCTGAGTCTCCATATGATGAAAGAATAATTTCAGCTCTTCCAACATCTCATTTTGAATTCCCTAATGGCTACAATCAAGTAAAATAATCTTATGCTTTAATCTTGAAAGCTTTTTTTTAAACGATTAATTATACTGCCTTGATTATTTTTAAAACATTACTATCCTTATTTAAAGTACAAAATTTATATTGATGGATAAGGTCAATATTTATTTATTTTTGAAGCTATATCCTTAATTAATTGATTTATTTACACTGTACTAGAGGTATAACCTAAAAATTTGTAATCTTTATGCATAAGTTGAAGTATAATTTTCATTGTGATTCTTAAGGATAAGTTTATAACCACCAATGGTATAAATTGTATATATTATTCTGTGAAATTAATTTTCTTGATTGACATATTTACTTTATGTTTTTTAGTTGTTTTGAATTTTTCGGTGAGTTACACAAACAAAACAAAATTAATGTATTAGATGTACTATTTAAACTCTTGATAAATTCGAAAAATCAATTTTATGATTGTAAAAACAATTTTCAAAAATAAACCATTTTGTTAGTTAAGTTTAGTTTTAAATTATTTTATTAGTTACAGAAAAAGTTTGAAACACTTTCAATTTCAACTCAATCCAATTAACCAAATTACATTATTTGAAATATTTCATTTTAATAACATATAGATAATAACATATTATTAAAATTAGTATATGTTCAATTGTATAGATATTAAATTTATTTATACTATTAATTTAATGCTGATAAATATACCTACATTAATTATGAAAAATAAACTAATAAAATCAAATAAATTTAATTTATACCATAACTTAACATAAAGCTTAAATCAATTGTATTTATTTTAGGAATTTGGAAATGAAAGGTTTAAAATACCTGAAG